AAAATTGTGTTCAACACGTTCGGTTTTCAAAAATTGATCAAAATGTGAAATTTGTAAACCTAATGCCATTAATGGATGCAAGCGCTTGCAACGATTGAAGTGTTTACCTTCAATTATTCCATTCACTGACCCCGAAGCGATAATTTTACTCTCAATCATCATGTGAGATAGTCCGCATTCATCGATGAAAGTACCAACTGCTTTAAAAAAGGCCATCATCAAATGAAAGGAGCCAAGATGTATGAAAAGATTGCTAAATTTTAGACCTTCTGTTGCTTGAATTTTTAAAGCTATTTTAGCAATTGCTAAATCATATGAGACTTGCACATAAGCTTGACCACACTCTTTACCAACACTTTGTGCTTGTTCCATTGTGTATGCTACCACTGAGACATTTGTAGGTGATAAATTGATTGGCGTTAAGTAAGATACTTTTTGTTTTAGACTGTTGTCTTCTAAAATTCGACAGTTAAATCCTGTCCATGACGGTGTATTTGGCACGTGAAAAACATGTGACAGCAAATGCAATAGATCAACTGTTTGTAGTAAAGAGGAACTTTCAGGTAGAGATGGTTGATCAATTTGGACTGGTGTTAAGCGACCGATCATCTTTAATCGCTTGCTGTAAGGAGTAATATCTGGAATGATTTCTGTTAAGGTTCGTCTTCTCTTCGACGGTGGTGGTGGTGGCAACATATCTTCTGTATTTGTATCATTATCTTCATTTAATTCACTATGGGAATTACCATCTATGTTTTGATAAATAATTCCCACAGTATCATGTAAGGTTTCTTTTCCATTTATTGTGTAAACGTATCTATCAAAATTGTCGAAAGCTACACCAGTGCATAGTGAAGGATTTAGAATAATGTCTGGAGGACAAACTTGAGTTTGATGAACGGATGATATAGTTGCTTCGGTTTCCAATTCTTCTAAAGTGGTATAATTACAACAATGTCCAAATCCATTCAGAATATTTATTATTTTTTTACTACTTGTCAGACTTTTAATAGTCATACCAAGAGTGATGTGTTTTGATGGTTTAACCGTACCATTACTTACACAAAAAATTGCATCAGCAGCCATTGAAGAACTTAATCGATTACAATTTAAACCATCTCTGCGTCGAATATCTTTACCACCAATCAAAATTTTGAAGAATCGATCCAATTTATCAGGGGTCACACATTCGCCAGAAATTAAGTCGCTTGTTTTAATTTTGGACGGCATTTTCGATTTTTCGATGTTTAAAATCGTATTTCGCAAGATTAAGGCCACTTTATCGATGAGATTGTCTTCTTCAAGTTTTGTCAAATCATCTTCTAATAGAGTGCATTCCTTATGAATGATAATTTTGTTTTTTTGTTTCGATATAATTTTAATAGATTTTTTGAAATATTTTTGTATTTTTTCTTCAAGGTAATGATTATTTATTAAATTAATATCTGACTCAGGATGACGGTTTTGTTCATATTCCAATTCATTATTGTATATATCGGAAAGAGATGACAACAATACACATTTTCTTTCTGTTAAAACGTCTTTCTCGATAATCGACACAATATGACTAAAAATATCTTTGTGGATACTACGATTTTTATGCCAAGATGAATATGGAACATCAGAAATTAATTTGTTATAATCATTTAAAAAAGCTAATTCACAGGAATGGTGATAAAAAATAGTTCTATTTGTAGATTTGAAATTGTTAATTTTCTGTAACAACTGTTCATTACTGAGTTTTTCCATCCACATAATAATTTTATCATAAAGTTTTGCATCATTTGAGTGGTGAAGACTTTGTTGTTTACCCTTATTCTGCTTACGATCTTTATCACAAAAATAACAGACATTTTTTAGTTGTCGACCTGTTCCAATATCTTCTGCAGTAGTGTCAAAAGTTTCGTTGTTAGCTGTATTTTCATTAATACTTGAATCACAAGTTGAGCTGGAAGCTGGATCCGGAACTGAAACATCTCCTAACATTCTCTGACTATCTAAACTCAGAGTTGCATCTTCTGATAATGTCTCGCTATTCAAATTTGGTTGAGAATGAGCTGATATGCTCGAACAATTTGAACTTTGATCAATGTCTTCCAAAATATTTGAACTTGAACGAACAACTGCACATGCGGTTTCACTGTTTAAGCTTGTAGGTGAACTGGAGTCACTGGCTAAATTTAATTCTGATGATAAGTTACGGTATTTTGCCATTAACGCTGTAAAACTAGCATAACATTGTCTATGATATCCATCTGTCTCATTTATTTCGGTCGGCAACTTAGTGTCATGATACTTTAATTTATATTTCACACGTACACTCAAAACTTCCTGGCATTTCTTTAGTTTTTCACTCACGAAAAGTATTAGTTTATCATTTTTGCCCTTACAAAAAACACATCGCATTTTATCACTGGCCATTATAAAAAATTCATAAACAAACAGTGAGACACAACATAAACACAAACGTGGGCCTTTAGACTGACGCCATCTTGAAAATTTGGCGGCTGCGCCAACGTCACTGTCTGTCTCTCTCTAACTACTATCACGACGCTGTGTGGATTTCTTAATAGTCCAGGAAAGATAGCTCAAAAACTGCCCAAAGCTGGAAAAAAATCGCTCACACTTTTTCTCAACGGTTTTCGACTCATTAGACTTCCCTTTACAACATATCAAAGTTCCCCAAAAATCCCCGCATTGGCATTTTCGTCGTACCCTGTGAAACATTTACTTAATTTTATGTATTTAAGTGAAAATTGAGAATACGTTCCGGTCGCTCGGACGGGTTTCAAATTGCAAGTAATGCTAGTTTATATCAGAATTAGGATAAAAAAAGACAAATAGCCCAGAAAATCATTCAATTTTGGCCAATTTTGGTATAAAAAGGCCAAAACAAGTCAAATTTTAACCGAAAACTATCAAAATATAAAAGAACCCGTGATGAATGTTTGATGGTGGTGGTGGCAAGACTGTGTGTGTGTGTGCGTGTGTGTGTGTGTGTAGGTGCGTACGTGTGTGTGTGTGTGTAGGTGTGCGTGTGTGTGTGTGCGAGAGCGCCCGCGTGTCAGTTTGTGTGAGCGGGCATGCGTGCCCACAGTGCAGGGACGACCAACGCGACAGGTACGGTAAGATTCGCGTTGTGCGTGTCCATAATGTAGTTACACCGTCGTTACAACAGAATACTGCCAATGTAGACGACCCACCTGCTTAAGTGACGGTAAGATTTTTAAAAGTGTACATATTTTCATTTACCTAACCATGAAATCGCATTAAATCCTTTTATCGTTACAGGTGAACATACCAAATGTCAGGACTGAGAAAATGTTTTCTTTTTCAAAATTATTATTGAATTGTTTCCAAATGAATAAATAAATTTATTGTCTTTTGTCTAGACAAAAAAATACGCGTAACTTTCCAGAAACGTGCTGCGCGCGAGCGTACCCTCTATCCTCCTCGACCCCTCCCCCCACGCGCATACACACATACACACACACACACACACACACTCACACACATAGGGTCGTGCCACCACCACCAAACATCCATCACGGAATCTCTTCTATTTGGATAGTTTTCGGTTAAAATTTGACTTGTTTTGGCCTTTTTATCCCAAAATCAGCCAAAATTAAATGGTTTTCTGGGTTTTTTATCTTTTTTTATCCTAATTCTGATATAAACTAGCATTACTTGCAATTTGATACCCGTCCGAGCAACTGGAACATATTTTCAACTTTTTCTTAAATACATAAAATTAAGAAGATGTTTCAAGGTTTAGCAATCGAATTAATGTTTGGCAAATTAATTTTAGGTTTTTATATATTCAAATAATGTAATATTAAAATGACAGACGTACTATAATGATTTGAAATTTAAAAAAAAAAAAAAAGATCGCGTATGGCATATCATTGGCAATGATAAAAGTGTCTGGCAATAAAAAAATAGTGTTTGGTAAACCTATCTAAAGATAAGAAATTAAAAATTTAGCTTCTTGAAATACTTTCAAAACCTTGGATTATTACCTGTACAGGTAGGATGCGCACCAATGAACGCAACCGCTACCGCCAGCCAGATAGCCTAGGCTCTACCCAAAAGAGGAAGAAGGACAACATATTAAAAAATAAGCTGACCTGAAATTCTTTCTCGAAAACGTTGCTAGCTCCTATACTATAAGTACGGAATGTGTTCCGTTCGAAAAAAAAAACGAACGTGTGCGGCAGTCAATGTATTTTATTAGCATTTGATGGATTCGGGTCTCCGAATTCGGAAAACGAATGTATGCGCCCAGCCTAGCACACCGTCGGGTCGTAGGCGGTCTTGATCTCTTCTACCGCTACACCAACGGCCTTTGCTCCTCAGTGCTCTCCTGCATGATACCGCCGCGCGATGTGCCTACCAGACAGACTTTGGCCTCCCATTCTAACCACGTCGAACTTCGTAGCTCCTTTGTCCGGAAGGTACCGAGAGTATGGAACAATCTACAAGATGAGACTTTTTCCAGTTCTACTAACCTTAAGCATTTAGGCTCCTGCCTGCGCGGCTGCTTCGGTTTAAAAAAAAGAAACCCTGGACTGAAAAGAGGCTCTTGATTGAAAATCAATTCATGAACCAGCCGATGGTAGGTAAAATACATTTTAGTTGCTTTTTTTCGAGCTTACGGGGATTCTGGGCATGATGACAAACGTTTTTCTGCCAGTGACCCATCTATTTGTTGTCCACGGCCGTAAACCTTGAAGAGGTCTTTGCTGCTCGCCTCGCTCGTCTTACCTCTATCTAGATTCAGACAACTTTATACTTGTGCTGCCATCTGTTTTTTCTTAGAAATAAGTACCATTACAGTTTTCTGTACTGCTTACGTTGCTACCATCTATTGCGTTCAAAGTAAATCAGTTGTATTCATCAGCATCTTCATCAAAGCTTTCTACAATCAATGGTGTTCAGGCCAAAATAATAGCTTTTAAAACAGTTTTCTTCCTTCTTATGTCAATTTTTTCTGACAAGTCGTCGAACACGCTGCGCTGTTGGAATAGTGCTCCCTCCTCCCTCACCCTTCCGGAAAAAAATCATTTTGTACTTGGCAGTAGGTATGTCAGAGTGTGGTGCAGTGATTTTCTGGAATTAATAGCAATTCTCCTTTATTGTTTTAGTAAGACCAAGTAAAACTGGAGATTCATCGAAGATCCGGGTTTTCTTAGGACGGTTTACTGTTTTTACAGTACAGTGAGTACATTTTCCTACATTAATTGTAGACTTTTAGCAGGTCAACATGCTCAGTATGTGACACGTCGACTACTTAAAGCCTGATAATACGAAATTATTCGCGTTAAATTTTTCAATTAAACATAGCTACTGTTTGAATTTAGAGGTCCTGTACTTCCTGAAGCAAATTTATTACCTAGATTTGTCTATTTCGTCCGTAACTTACGGACCATCCATATGTTTACTAGCTGTGTATGTCCGCGTGTCGCTTTTTTATATATTTAACAGTATTTCGCAAAGAATGTTGTCTCTAAACTGCCCAAATTCGAATTTACAATCTTTCAATCAAACGAAAATTTAGTGTGGCATTTAATGCTACATCTTTATCAGACTTGTAGAAATAGACAGTCCTATAACCTGTATTTTTTTACCTTTTCATCAACCTACATCACAAATGGATCATAAAGAATTAATTTCAACAAAACTAGAATTTAAAGGTGTTTTCATTTCAATAGTTTTATTTCGAACAACTTCCATTATCTATACAGTTTTTGAGATCATGACATCGCAATTCGTGGTATCTTCAGTCATCTTCAGTTTGACCTGAAACATCCACATTGTCTACAGAATAGTCTGAGCACCCCCCCAATCTTTATTCTCCCCAAATAGCAATGCAAGGCTACAGATTTCACTGTCTGGGGCCCCTTCATCCTAAGGCCAAGAGCCTCATGTGGACCCAGGAGCCCTTACATAGCCTAAGACAGTCATGTATGTGTGTATCATATACGAGTTCCAACTAAAAAAAAGCAATCAGATTAGAAGTTTTACAAATTCAACCTACTTGACAGTTTTATTTCATCCCCTACCCATTTATAATTTTTGTCTTTAAAAAAATGTTATGGGCCTCACTAACAGAAAAAAATCATAACTGAGCAAGTCTCTATCATTTTTGGTCTTTTTGACATCACTTGGCTGCCTCTTGACTAACATTCAAAAATTGCTAATCATTTTCAACATTGCCATATTCAGTTACCTAGTGTCAAAATTTGAACAAAGTCTAAATGACAATTTCTGACTTGTAGAGGGACCAAGTATTACCAGAAAGTATGAAATAATCGACAATACAATGTTTTTGTAGGGTAGTTTTTAAAAGTCACTACTGCACTGTATGGTTGCCACTTGTTTTCAATTCAATTTGGGAACTTAATACAAAATTATGTTACGTGTTACATTGTTATGCTTTTAGCTTATATATAACCAATAACAGATAAAAATATTGCTTCAGTAGACATTCAAAATTTATATATATCGTAGGCAAAATTCACACAAGCAGTATTTACTACGATCCATCAGTATTTATCATGGAATGTGATATTTATTGACAATGTTCCCTGGACATCAGTAATTATTGAAATATAAGGTTATGTAAAAATCCACTGACACTGACAAAATGATGAGTATATACAAATAGTGATGATATGGACTACAGTAAATACTGATTATGTTATATTCGCAGTAGAAAAAGTGGAAAACTAGGACAAGCATAGGACATGTATCATAAAACCTTCCTACAACTTATTATGTGATACACAATGCTTGGTTTTGGGGGCTGGATTTTTAATTTGGCTGGCTGATTGGGTCATCAACTTTCGTAACAGTTGACTTCACTGATTAGTCTTCTTTGGCATTTATTAGAAATGTTTGTGTGGTCCAGGCTTGTTATCAGTGGTTGATTTAGAGAGGAGTACCCCCTCTCTTAACATCCAAGTCTGCCATGTTTTTCAAGATAATGGTATATATTGCTGTATCTTGGGGTAAAGATTACCTTAAAAATTACCTTGTTAGACCTGAATTGTTACATATGCACCCCTTCTCTAGACGTATCCCACCCCCATTCTTCCATTGCCATGAGGAAAATATCTTTTTACAAATAAAACCATTATTTTAGTAATGCTGCTTCAAACAATTAAAAATGATATTAGTTTGTTACAAAACTTGTCTATTATTGTTGCTGATAGTGCTAACCTTCAATTATTTTTATGATATAAAGTATTCTGAAAGAACGAACTGATAACTGTGCTGAGGGATAACTTCGAGTGTATAACTAGATTAGAAATATGTAAATATAAAGCACTGGCAGATGTATCTTCCATAATACCAACATTATCAGAAGCATGACTATTGACATGGTAGTGTGTTTAAAAATATTTCATTTGCACTTGTACAGATCTGCCTGATTTATTTCTCCTCTAAATTTTTATCATCATTCAGATATCTAGCATCATACAAAAGATAAGCCGTCTCTACAACTTATGAGGAACAAATATCTATCTATATTTTTTTTATCATAATCCATTGTTTGACAAAACTTTGATGTCGAATCAGATAATTGAGATTATTTTGCCAAAACATTGGTATTACTGTAATTAATACAGATGAAACACTCTGACAATTGGGCATTTCTAAGTTTAACGTTAATTCGTCTGTTATCTTTGGTTGCTGTATAGATCTTAAAGTACCACTTGAATGTTGAAGTGTTCAGGGTAGAGTACTCTCATGGCTGGCCAACTCTGTTTTAATGAATTTGAGAATCCGTTCAGCAGCGAGTATTGCCAAAAAATTAATAAACCGTCACACTAATGTAAATTGGAATTTCATGTAGATTTCAAAGAATGTTACTATCACAGCAAGGGTACTTACTTTTGAAAATTAGTCCAGTGCACTACTGCAATGGTGAGAGTGCTATTTCGAAAAATACTCGAGAAAACAAATTCAGAACACTGAATCTTGATTTTTGAGGCTATGTACCAGTTTTCCAAAGACTTTGGAATGTTCAAAAACATTGAGTAGTCACAAGAATTTGGCCTGTTGATTTTGACGCGGCGCAAACGAGTTTGAGTAGGGTTGTAGCCAATTGTCACGGAAATATTGCAATTACAAAAAATTTTGAGATGGGACATTGCAACTTTTTAATTTTTATGAAGTTTTGACACAACACTACTAAATAAAAAATGTCACGCACCTAGAGTTTTAAATGGTTTTCTATCATTGCATGGGAAATGGGAACTATCGGGTAAATCTAGTCGATTCCATAGTAATCGCGAATATTTGGGAAAATGAGAATTATGTTTCTTGGGCGTTATTTGACATGTACACCACGAAAAACCATGTAAGTAATTTCCGTCTGTCTGTCTGTCTGTCGTTCTGCCCGCTAATCTTATAACCGCCTATAACTTGAGAAGTACCACTCCGATTTCGATGAAATTTTTACACAATGTTACTTCTATGCCAATGTCGCAAAAAAGCATGGAAAGTACAGAGCCAATCTAATCGAACGTTTTTTTTATCACATTCTGAAACCCTTGGAAGTACGATTCAAAATTCGGCTATAACCTAATTCCTACATAGAATCAAATAAAGAAACTGAAAATGAGATTTATTGCGTTCTATGTTACAGTGTTGCTGTAACGACTTGGCGCGACTCAGGACACTCAACCTAACATAATGCAGCAACCAGAGGAAATGGTAGTAGGGGGATTGGCGTCGACTGTGTACGAGGAGGGCTCCTTTGACGGCGCTGGTGGATCTGGTGGTGGCGTCGGAGGCCCCATGATGATGCAGCAACAGCAGCAGCCGCCTCCGGTACGCACTTACGATGACCTGTTTCCGGCGCTACCGGACGCGTCACTGGCACGCACCGCCAACCGGAACCCGATGGGCGCTTGGGTAAACAAGATGAGAGTGGGGTCCTCAAAGATCACGCATGTCTTCAGGTGAGTTAAGACATTTATTATATCGTCGGACATCTGACAATACCTGCTTTCTGACATTTTTGCCCAATTTTTGAATTATTCAGCCAAAACAATACCTACCACTGTCAACAAGTCTGTCAATGAGCGGCAATTCCAGCTATATGACAATTACGCGTGCTATTTTTCTTAACTTTGCAATGAAACACGACGTTGTGATTTCTCAGAAATATCTCACCAAAGGACAGACCCAAATGGAATGTGACTCTGTACACAGTCGCATCTAAAGAAAACTGAGAAATAGAGTTATTGAATTGCCAAATGACTATGTTAAGGCGTCAAAAGAAACTAGGACAAAACCAGAGCCATATGAGGTGATCCAATTGAGTTACGACTTCTTCAAGGACTACTCTCGAACATAGGTGCAGGGATACTCAACAATTAGACCAGGCAGGGACAATGTAGTCACGGACATCAAAGTACTATGTTATAATCCCAATGGAAAAATTGAAGTGAAACTAGACTTCAGTGTAGAGCCTCAGTAGTTGCCTATGATACCAAAACAGCTACCTGTCATTTCAGATTATGTGTTATATCTAAGAACTGTCACATGTTTTACGACAACTTGCCATATGTCAAGGAAAGAAGCTGAATCATTTAAGGTGTGACTGAGAATGCTATTATCTTTTTGATTTGTAAAAACATTAAACTTTTAATTTGATATAATGAATAACAGTTTTTCTAACACGAATCTCACTAAATCCATCTATCCATCATAGTACAATATCTGTTAACGGGGCTCCTACAATCACGAGTACCATCTGCTGAGGTAACGGGGGGGTGAAAAGGAAACAAGGGTGAGCAGGTCTTAGACGGTTGTCGGCGCTACTTTAAAAGAGGAAAGGATGACTGCGGGTGCGTACCGAGGTAAATTTTTATAATAACAGAGTCGGATTTCGATTAGCGATCTAGCCTGTAAATCGTTCCCTATTTTGGTACTCAGCAAGTGATCATTTAGTATTATTCTCCACTTGTTACTGTTCGTCGATATTGTGTTGTTGAATTGTTGTGCTGTACTCTTGTTGGTGTGATTGTTCTTGAGTGCCTTTTTCATCAAGGTTGATAATGGACAATAAAAGGTCATATGGGACAATTTTAATTACGAATGCAGTGAGTTTAATTCATGATGAGGACAACAATAGTGTGGAGCAGTTCAACTCTATAATCGCAAAATACATTGGGGTAAGCGAATAAATTATTGCAAGAAGAGGTCTTATCATGGAAAATGTGCTGCATCTGTAGTGAGCCACAATACCCAGCGGCCTGTACATCCGGTCTAAATACGTTTGCGTTCTAAGCTTAGTTCAACCTCGTTTATCGCTAAGATGGAGCAAAGACTCAAACGCAAGAATCTTGAAAAGAAACTCAGACCAAAAAAAGCTGATATAAAAATAACTAACAATTCGGATAGCAATTCCAAAGAAAATGAATAGTTTTATGGCGAATTCAATCAATAACCTGACATTAACTACATTGATTTGGAGGTTGCTAAGCAAAAAGTTTTAGGGAAACTTAAAAAAAGTGACGAGACAGATCGAACAAGTCACCAAATCACAGGACTGTACTTTGTCGCGCCTTCATCGGAGGATAAGGTTGACAGCGTCTCGATTTGGTGAAGTTTGTAGAAGAATGCAGACAACAAGCTGTAAAGTTCTAGTAAACTCCATCATATACCCAACAGAGTTTTCTAGTAAGGCAATAAAAAAGGCAATACAAAAATCACTGGACACGGCAGTTCAGTCTTGTGGTTTGTTTATTGATCGTAAACATCCATTTCCGGCAGCATCCCTCCATCTACCTATTACAATAGACAAGAAATGTACTTAATCCAGGTATAAGCCTACCTGTTTATTGCTTTGCAAAAACTACCTAACTGTTTCCTCTTATTTTGACGGCATAAGATATTTTTATGACCCTTATTCAATTGTCACCATGTACCACATGACCCTTGTAAACATAATTGTGCTTACTGATATGAATAAACGAATTTTAATTTGAGATCTTGAATTTATTTTAGGAGATATATCAAATTATTTGAATACATTTTTTCTTAGTCGGAACGCACCGTCGCGTCGCTTGGACTGGCAGGACGAAACAGTAGACGAATTTCTCCCAAAAACCGATTTGCACTTCACAGCTTACGTTTCATTTTTATTATTTCCATATGAAACTCTTGCAGCGTGCTAAAAACAAAGTCCACAGGGTGCTAACGATCCACTTTTTCGATTTTATCCACTAGGATCTTTTTAAAATATCAAGAAGTAAATAGTAAGCATTTCAACCCACCATAAGTCTTGCGTAAAGACAAAATTTTGTAAAAAACTCTGATAGCACCTTAGGCAATTATGTCCTGCTTATATCCAGAAAAACATCACAAACTGCAGAACACAAATTGAAGGTAACTGCGAAATGGGTACATTTGACGGGTCATGAAATTCAAATGAAAATGCAGGTATAAAATCTACCAAATTATCGTTCTCAAAAACATATTTCCTTGACATATCGATAATTTTAAAGTTCCACGCTAAATTCCCCTATACTTGACTGGAGTGATATCCGAATTTATTCTTCCCTACTGTCGGTAGTTGCAGATCTGTTGGCTCTTGGTGTTAAACCTATAGAGCAGATACCGATTTTTTTCAAATCGTGAGCACATTAGTTGGATTTTCGTTACTTAAATTTCCTGTAATCACTGGGATCAAAAGCTTCTGAATGATATAACGTGTTTCACTGATTTCAACCCCCCCCCCCCTTTTTAAGCAGTACAATTTTTTTATGTCAATGATTAGGAACCCCTGAAACGTCAAAAACGGAGTTTCAGCAATTGTTACTTTTTCTTTTTTGCCTATAGCACCGTTGCCAGTGGAGTAGAACTACAAAGCTTTGGCAGTGTGGAAAGTTCATAAAAATCCGAGCGGTAATTTCCAAGTTGATGATAAGTGATACAGTTTTTCGTGATGTAGATGCCATATGACTTAAAAAAACATAACATCTCATTTTAGGAATTTTTCGCGATTACAATACATCCTCGCCAATGGCTTGACAAGTAAAACGGCTTTAAAATCGATGATATCTACGAGATATTATATGAAATTGGGCCACCAAATTATCTGAATACGTCCTTTCTTAGTCCGTACATTGCGCCGCAATGCTTGTGTTGGCAGCATGAAACGGTAGACAAAATTCGTCCAAAATACGATTTATAGAGGTTTGCGCGCTTCGGAATTGACGCTTTATTTTTTGATATTTTTGGATGAAATTTTCACAGAGTGCTGAAAACAAAACCCCACAGGGTGCTATAGAGCCACTTTTTAATTTTTTTCACTAGGTTCTTTTTAAAAAAATCGCAAAGTTGAACAGAGAAAGTGCGCACTTCAACCCAACATAAAACTTGTGCAAAAACAAAATTTCAAAAAGTGCTCCTATAGCACCCTGGGCAATTATCTTCTCAACATACTGTATGAATTTCATTCAAAAATATTGAAAAATGGAGTGTCAGTTTTGAAGCAGCTGAACCCTTGTAAATGGCTTGAAACTCACTGCGTCGGAGCCGCCTTAACAGCAAAGAAAGTTAGCAGAAATATCAGCTAGCTGCACTAATTTTGTCAATTAGAGCTTCATTTAGATAAAAACGCATTCAATATTTGTTAAACGTCATTTATTTTTGGTGACCAAAGTTGTAGAGTCTTAAGGCGGGTAGTATAAAATTGATAAGTTTTTTTTTCGTTCCTTACAAAATTACGGTTCCTGCATATAGTAGGTATTGTCAGATGTCCGACGATATGCAGGTGTAGGTCAGGTTTTTCTGAGTGGGTCAATCACGATCCTCCACTGCGATTCACTGGTCTGTTGTTGCTGACACCTATGTATATTTACCTCAATAGCCCCAACTTTTTGAGGAATTGAATCAGCTTATTTGGAGAAACATAATGTCAGGTCTTCCACTTTAGTCAATAGGAGGTCTGTAAATTAAGTGATGAGACTGTATTTTTTTTATTTTTTAAATATAATTACGACTCTATTTTGTCACCAAATAACTTCCTTCTGAAGCCACACAGCTGGTTCTTCCACTTCTCATAGCAGTGCTGGAACTCCGATACTAGCTTTCAGCTGTTACAACCATTTGAATGTTTTCGACTATCCCAAAATGAGTCCCCTTAAGGTGATTTTTCAACTTCAGGAAGAGAAGAAAGTCACAAGCACTCAAATCACGCGATTAAGGAGCCACAGGATTTTTTTTACTGGCTAAAAACTGGTTTATTGCTGTATGATAAGGAGTATTATCGTGATGTAACACACAGTTGTTTTTGAACGGTGGTGTGAGTAAAATTTAACTATTTCCCGATCATTATCACTCAAGCTATATACTTTAAAAAAAATATTAAACCAACAAAATTAAATTTGGATATCCCTCTCCTAGATGAAAATTTTGAATTCGTTGGTATTCATTTTCGAATTAATAATAAAACTTGGTTATTAATTAATATTTACTGACCTCCTTCCGGTAACATTGCTGCTTTTTTGGATACATTTGGGGACATGCTCGGTGTAGTTGCTGTTGGCTATGACTGTCTGGTCGTCACAGGAGATTTTAACATTGATTATCTGAGTGAATCTAATCACACCAGGCGTTTTAAAAATATATTGCAGTCATTCAATCTCTCTCAAAAAATACCTGAGCCAACTAGATATGATATGTTGACATCACACTCTGCTTTGATTGATATGATTATTGTAAGTGAAAATTTGTTAACAGTTAAATCAAGAACTATACCAATAGACGAGAATATAACAGACTATAATTTAGTTTATTCGGTCTTTAACATTCCAAAAATAAACATTTCTCCAAAATACGTTACTTATCGCGATTATAATAATATCCGTGAACAGTCATTTCTTATGATGGTATGCAGCTTCCGTGGAATATTATTTACTATTGTACCAAAGTAGATGAAAAGGTGAAA